TTGATAAAATAAAATATACGAAGTTATGGTAAAATCAATTTGCCATGCAGGAGTGAAGCGAACACAGAACACCGAATATTATCGGTATTGGTATAAACGTCGCTTTCGTTATCGGCATTAGCATCGCGGCTGATACTTGCCTACACATTATCGATATTTTTATTATGATTCTTGCCGTAGATGTCCTTAGTTTCTGTTAGGTTTATCTGGTTACTGGTAGTACTACCAGCAAACCCCCTTCAACAATGTAGCTCTTTGCAATACCACAAGGATCGACAGCCCCGAGTCTTCTATAAAACCAATTCTTAAAGTCAACAAACTTGAGCTGTTGCCGTACGTTACGACCCAACACATGCGTAAAAGCCTCGAAATCTTCCGTAAAATCTTTCTCTCGAATACTGCAAGGGCCATCTCATAGGATGTTGTCATTTTCGATACTTTTTCATCATATACCAGCATTGACATGATGAGTGACCTGTATAGTGCGTTCAGGGAAGACTCCATAACGATAGTTATCTATTTTTAACCGACTTCAAAAAGGGCGGAGGTTATCAATTTGTCGGATTATTATTATTTTCGTACGTTACTGCATAACTTTGGACCACGTTAACCGATTTTTTTTTTTTTCAAAGCTCAGAGGTGGTCCCATTCTAATTTGGTTAAGATCTGATCTTTGGATCATGAAAAAATCAACGGTACTCTTAAATTTTTCGATTTTTTTTTGCTTAAAAAGTACTTGTTTAGTAAAAGAAGCTCTTGCGACTTTTTCGTATACCACTCGCCAAATGAGCTTGGCTATATTGCAGGTGCTATCGTAGAATATCCTCATACACATATCCTCCGAGATGCAAATCGAACTGCTCTGCTATTACATTAAGATATTTGCGACTTTTTCTTGTATATTCGCTAAATGGATCTGAAGCACAATTAGAATAATTTTGCTGACGGAATGATCTTGTAAACTTTTCTGAACCAGCATCCAAATTATGTTGGAATTAGAAATTGGGCGCAACCTAAATACTCAATCCCGATCCCCTCCATGCCGATATAGAATTTTTATGTTCTGAACCCACCCATCTTGACGTCTCTCAGATCTGTACTGCGGGTCTCGTGGGTTCCACTAAATAAAATTCGCATAGCCTTCAAATTGCTTTTATATAATATACTTGAATATCTTTTTTCTCGAACATTTCAGTAGATTTTTTAAATATTTGGATGTTCCGACTTTTATTGGGAGTGCCGGCAAAGGATTTGCTCCCTTCCCGACAGCAAACTTTTAAAGACCTTGCCGATACCGCCCATCCGGGTATTTTAAAACTGGGACTGTGGGCTCTGCGGGTACCGATTTTCCGTGCCCATCTTTAGTATACGAGTATCCCTATTGAAATATAGTCTATGTATGCACAAACTTACTAGTCTCGCCCGCGTGAAAGAAAAAGTTGGCAGTTGATGGCATATCTGTTAATTCATTGACGAATTTGTGCAGCGGATCGCCGGCATCTTCTTGCCCAAGCAAATCAAAGCCAATAATAAAATTTGGCTTGGCATCACTGCAAACAAAAAGTTTACCGTAAAAATATTAATCAGAATTTCGAAAGGAGTCTGTATTTATACTCACTGCAGTTGCTTAAAAGTTATTAAGTGTTGTGCCATTTCATCCACCGATGCCTCATTGGGCTTTGTATAGATTACCTTGAGTCCCACAAAATCGGGGTGACGCGCCTTGAAGCCCTCAACGATTGCTTCCATTTCATTGGCCACTTCAAGTGCATTGAATGTGCGATTGTTATCGCCATAGAGCTAGCAATATTTTTTTGGATCAAAAGTGCAAATGGCCAACAATATTAAAAGCTTTAACTCATCTCTCAAACGGCAAATGCTAGAACATACCGGTGTCAGTGGCGTTCTCAGTTCTGCATAGAATATATTATCCTCACATAATTCTTCCAGCAATCGTTTGTGATAGTTGCAAAATGTCGGCTGATAATTGTAAAAATTCTCTACACTCTTAAATATACTTTGAAAGCGTTGCCAAATCTTGCGTTTATCCGTAATCATGGCTGCAAAGATTGAAAATAATAATTAACTTAAAACTTTGTGTAAATGTATCTTCATTTTCGCTATTTCCACCTACATTCCGGATGCACCGTGTACATATTAAT